GGATACTGCGCGAGAACTTCACGAAAAGATAGTCTGATTCCAAGGTTTCTAACCTAGATCTATAGTAGTCGTTGTCGTCGATAAAACAACGGTTGCAGATGATGTCGTAGGTGCCGATGTCGTCGTTGTAGACGTGTTATTAGGAGTCGATGACGCCGTGGTTGTAGTCGTCGTAGGTGCAGATGTGGTGGAACGACCCAACGTCATCGTTGTAGTCGTCATAGGAGTGGAAGTAACCGTTGCTGCAATTGTCGTTGTAAACGTGGTGGTTGGGGCACTCGTTGTCACTGTTGAGGTTGTCGTGGATGTGGAAGCTGTTGTGGTAGTATTGACCGCCTCACGAGTAGTCACCTTTGTGGTCTCAGCTGGAATTCTTTCTATGAAATGTTCTTTTTTTTACAAATTGAGACAGTAAACAAGATGATAAACTCCGCAACAGCACTTGCGGTATTCTAACAATCATTCGCGGTAGAATCGTAGAATCCCACCATGTTAGGCCCAACGTTTATGGCACTTGATATGGTAGCTTTGGAGTTTCTTCAGCTTCTAGCCGTTGCTTAATACGCTGATCGGCCATGGCACTCCGCACCCGGTGAGTACACTATTGGAATTGATGCGGGCACAGGAATTGTTAGGGATACTCGCACCAGCCACTGGCCTGGCCTTACCACGACACAATTTTGGGTGTTGGTACTCCTTAATGAAGCGCATGTAACTATCGCTCAAAAAATACAAGCCATTACTATGGGACTGTTGGTGAACACTGTGATCGCAATGCTTTTTTGACAGTAGGAATTCCCGTGTAGGTAATCACAGCTGTTCAAAGGAATCCTTCTCGGAAAAATTGTCACCCATAACTCACTGGCTTGGGATCCATCATCACGATAAGAACGAAAAGAACAAAAAATTGCATTTGTTTTGGTAAAAAAAATTCGAAAAATCGAAAGGGCTGCTACGCGTTCAAAGTACCGCCGGACATCTGTCACAAATGCTGGCGACGGGAATGCTTCCACTTGGTTCTTGGAGTGCCGTCACTAGAAACTCTTTCTGGCCTTTTGACTTATTGCATTCACATCTCACACTTCTACTGCATCCTATTCTATCGATCGATTTGTCTCTACTCTCCAAAATCGCACGCTTTAACCCGATTCTTTCATTGCGTCGCCTGATACGTAGCCGCCCAAGGCGGACTTCTTTCCATGCCCCGCCTTTGGCTCCGCGCCACTTACCTTCGATTGTCCATAGAGTGTGGTTTTTGTAAGTTTGTTTCTCTTCGGAAACCGAATCTTTGTGCGTGAAACTTTGTATGTTGTCTCTAGTGATCACAACTGACATATGCGTGTTGGGAAAGAATGCAAGATTTTTCCGGAAAAATCCTTTAAATTATGAAGAAAAGAGAAGTACCCAAAAATGATTCTCAAACTGCTTTAAGATCCAGTTAGCACCATGGAAAATGTGGAAATGAAATAATTATTTATTTGTAGTGTGGTCTAACGACCCATCCATTTTTCTGGTGTGGCCATAATCGCGGCTTCAGTGGTGATGCAGATGATGTCGCGTACGCGTCATGCGCGCTACCGCGTGACGTAACTATGGGCCACGGCTAGGAAAGTTGTGTGGATTTTTGTTCACTTTACCCTAATAGATCAGGCTCGGCTTAAACCGTAGCCCAATTCCGCGTCTTGCTCTAATCGCTCTCCTGATTATTCCACACATCACACACTGTAGACTGTGCGGAGTGCCGCGAGCAAATAAGATATTTCTTTATGGCTTTGGGAACATACGTGGCTCAATATTGTGCTACCGGTCCCACATCTGGGGAGTGTCAAGAGGTGAGAAGGAAGACATGCAGGTTGAACATTAGCTAGGGAAACCCCTAGAAGGTGGTGAACAAGGGGCATGCTATAGAGTTCAGGACTCACTTGACGGCTCAGTAGAAGGCCTGGTTGTTGGTCTTGATGTAGGAACTGATTCTGATGAGATTTCTGTCGAAGGACGTAATAACTTCGTGAAATATTTTCAGTTGAAGAGACACATTACTTGGTTGTTTGTGGTAGTTCCGAACACGCTCCTTCAATTGTTGTACTTAGGCAAAATGGACTTAGTTGTCCGTTGGCATTTTCAAGATCAGTGAGTCTAGGCGTCGCCGTCAGTAGTGGTTAACAGCAGGCAGTGGTCCTTCTGAAGGTCTATTCTCAAATGTTATGGTAGTAGCTGTAGGGGTAGATGCCTCTGTCTCAACATATGTCGAGGAGCCGACTGTATCTGTAATGGAATCAGTTGAAGTGGGCATGGTAGTTGTTTCTCTCCGCGCGCGCGCTCTGCGTTTCTGTTATTCTGGTGAGTGGACACTGTCGGGGTAGTAGTTCTAACAGGGGGCTCAGGATAAGCACCATCTGTACTGGACACAAGAGTTGTTGGACTCGGTGGTTCATCTGAAGTAGTCACTTCTTTGACAGTGCTCTCCTCTGACCTTGCTGTACTTGTAGGCAACAATAAAGTAGATGTTTCGCCTTCACTTGAGGCAGAAACTTCGACGCCAGTTGTTTCCTCCATACCAGCGGTGGTCTGTGATGATGAAGTTCCTCCACTTGAAGCGGTAGGTTGCTGCACCTTCCGCCGTAGTTCGTCGGGAGACCGTCGGAGGGATAGCCGATGAAAAGAAGCCGTTCAAACTGAGAAGGTGTTCCTCGAATTCGCTGTTCTCGTGTATCAGCAGGCTAGAGTCCTTTCTGTGTTGCAGGGAGTGCAGTACTTTCTCCAGGTATCGGTATGATGATCGGTGGCCTTGCTGTCGAAGCTCTTTCTGTAGATGAATAATGCACAGTACTTGTCAGAGGCATTTCAGCAGTACCTATCCGTGATGTACTGACTTCGGGCTCCAGTGGGGTAGTACCAGTAGAATCAGTTGGCATGAATGGGGTGCTACTTTCAGTGGCTTGACTTGTTTCGGGAATTGATGGAGTACTTTCAGGAAGTGGAGTGCTCTCGTTGGTATTTGCTCGGGAAGTACTTGATTCAGGTGGTGTGTTGACGGTACTTCTGATGTACTATGCTCCCCTGAATGGGTGCTTTCTCCGAGTACTGCCGGCTGGACTAGTTTCTGGACCTACGGTCGTGATTTCAAGTGTACTTGTTTCAATGGGTGAAGTGTTTTCGAAATCATTTTCAGTCGTGGTTTCAAATCGAGTTGACGTAGCACCATTACCGTCGTTGTAGTTCCATGGGCAGCGTGCTACCCCTTACTGTGCTTTCAGTCTCCGTCATCCAGTCATCAGCTGTGGTCTCCACCTCTGCAGACGTTTCAGTTCGTACTGCAGACGTCGTTGACGACTCCATAGCCGGTCTCGATGACGTAAGATGTGTTATCGCTGCAGTTGTATCCGTCCAGAGCGGAGTCACGCTCTCACTGTAGTCTGTTGCCGTCTCCGTCGTGGACTCTCCTGCTGGAACAGTGAAACGAGTGGTTTCTGTGGTCAAAGCGGTTTCTACTCCACCTGTATTCGGACGTCGTCGATGGCTCCATGACAGGCTCTTGATGACGTAGGAGGTGTCACTGATTCAGATGTATCTGTCCAGACTGGGGTTATGCTTTCAGTATAGTCTGTTTAACGATTCCGTTGTAGACTCTCCTGCTGGGACAGTGAAACGACTGGTTTCAGTGGGCGAACCGGTTTCTGCCCCACCGTATTCGGACGTCGTCGATGGCTCCATGACAGGCCTGGATGACGTAGGACGTGTCATCGATTCAGAAGTGTCCGTCCAAACTGGTGTTACGCTTTCACTAACGTCTGTCACCGTTACCCGTTGTGGATTGTCCTGCTGGGATGGTAAAACCACTGGTTTCAGTGATCGAAACGGTTTCTTCTCCACCGTATTCAGACGTGGTCGACCCATCCAATGTAAACCGTTGATGGCATTCCTGGTTCAGTGCTGTGGCGTATGGCGTCTCTTCACCACTTTCTGCTTGTTATGGAGCTTGCCTCTCCGTTGCTCTGGTGGTTGGCTCGATCATGGGCGTGGTAGGCGGCGAACCTGAAAGCAGTGGATCTCCGAAACACGCCAGAAGCACTACGTGTATTTTATCTGGGAGATGTCTTGCTTTAATCGATTTCCAATGCAAAACCCAAATCGATTTCCAATGCAAAACCCAAAAATATGAGGACTGATCTGACATATTTATTCTCAATGTTCAACTTATTAACCCTTTTCCATCACACATGAGACGTTGGCAATTACTGCGGAAGTCTTCGTTTCAACCCATTGAGAATCGTAGTTGCAGTGGAACGTTCGATTCAGTGACGAAGCAACAATACCCACCGAAGCGCCATCTTCGAGGATCTCCACATAGTGTTTGTTCTGAAATAAAATTCAACAAATAAAACCAACCAAAGAACCTATCGCTTCTCTTTATTGCTCAACGGCCCAAGAGCTTTTGCACATCAATTTTGGATTTTGGGCTCACTATAACTTCAATCAAGCCAGAGGCAGCACCCGGGTTACCTGTGGGCGGACTGTGCACTTCATCGTTTCAATGATCCGTTCTCGACAATTTTCGGATTTTTCGGCTCTTTTTATCTTCGAAAGTTCGAAAACAGTCTAAGAATGCTGTAATGGGTTGTTCCAAGAATTGACAGAGGTGTGGCGGTACTATCCTATGCTACGGAGCAACAACTGTCCATGATCAATGCGCGACTGAAAATTTATTGCATGAAGTTCTGCGCGATAAGTACTGCTAGAGCGATTGCACTAGACCAAGTAGCCTGAAAACTCTCGAAGCAGAAACTTAGAATGTGGACTTTCAGATCCCAGCGCGTGGTAAGCAGTGACTAGGTGTTGAGCCCGGAGGTGACCCGAATCCTACAGTTCACTTTCCCTGAGCTTAACTCATTTTATTTTTTTGCCGACTTCGTTTGCGCTTCCTCCTTCTTAACTTTGTTCTAGACCATTCCTTCAGAAGAATTGTTGCCGAAGTTCTCATCCGAGAGAAGCTGTTAGGACCTGGCGACATAGCCTTACTAAAATCTATCGGTTTTCATAGAAGTATACTGCCATCAAATTTTGATCACAATACGAACATAGGTTCTACCACCCTTGTTAATAACATAAATATCAAACATCAAATATCACTTTATTCACACAGAAAAAATGGGGTTAGTAAAGAAACCAACAAACGAACAGTAAGCGACGTTTTGCCACCAATTCGCGATTCGAAGAAGTGACCTGATTCTCCTCCATGCAGTTCTCTTCTCTTGTTAATTTTGAAATGATCGAAAAAGCGAGGTTTGTCATAACGTTGCGCTCGAAGTTTCCGTCTGCAGCCAAGACCAACGACCAAGTAATGTGCTTCCCAAAGTGTCGAAGGTCGGATGAGCCCTTGATGCATTCGCATCGCATATCGACTACGGTCGTCGACTACCAGAATCAGAGCAGACGACATGGACGTAAAGGAGCACCAAAGTGACTAACAGCTGCTGAGTTTTTGCCGTCTTGATGACGGCATGCTCTACTAAAAGAAGACAAGCGAAAGGGGACGCCACCTTTACTTGATTGGAAGACGAAGTCAGGGTCAACCGTGACGTTGGACGACTTCGTAATTTTCACGGCTCTTTTTCTTATGGAAGAATTTGTAAAATCCCTTAGTACAAACTACCTTGGGTGGGCTTCCATGCAGCCCCCCTGTCGCTCCCATGCCAATCCTGATTACCTTCCTCTGCTTGATCCTGAGAACAGTCTACATGCTCAACCCCATTCACGCTTTTCCTCCAAACCACCAGCGAGAAAGGGGGACCTCATTGACAAATTCCAATATGACTAAAAATGGCAAATGCTACAATTTTGCCAAAATAATACACCTTTACCTCCGCTGAGACCCCTCAAAAGGACTCCGTATTGCGACGCGGGTCCCAAGCTCCACAACCGCTACCCATCCTTCATCACCAACACAAAAAAGAGAATACAACTCTCTCTGAAAATCTTGAATACGACCCCTCGTTGGGATCGGCCAGACACTGAGCCTGGATACAAGTGACCTGTTCAGTACT